AATTAAAGTCTTTCGATGCCCCTCCCCACACATGTGTTGGTTTGAGTTCACCGCTCCCGGGGGTTCTGTGTCCTGCCGCTCTCCTCGGGATCACAGTCAGGGAGGACCCGTCCGACCTGTAGCGTAGCGCCAGGCCCTTCGTCAAATCTCGGGCCAGGGGACGCGGTTCGTGTGCGGTCAGTTGCCAAATTTGGTGTCATGGCATTTAAATCAAACATGAATAGCGCGAATGTAGGTGTTTTTGACTGCCACGAGGAGACCCGTGGCTTGGTTTAACCCCTCCACTTGCCTTCTAGCATGCTGTGTGGAGGTATCTATGTCACCTATACCCATCTGCTGCACCTGCATTCTGTTATCAGATCCTCCGCGGTTGCATTTTTGTTGTTCTTTCGCCTCTGCTGTACAGTTTGGCAGGGTTGAGCTACAAGCCGGGTCTTGTGTGTGCTGTACCACCCCAGAGTTATGAAAAATTTAAATTGAATTTGCGTTCTTGAAATAGGGGTGCAGCTCACGCTGTTATCGCAACTCAAATTTCTTCTTAATGAAAACGTTTTGACATGCGACCGTATTGGCCTCTCGTCTTTAGTGTCTACTTTGACTCGGTCAGTAAACACCTGCGGTATTTACATCAACAGCGGTCACCTCTTCTCGGCCATAGCAATTTTGAATAGTTCCGTACAACATCAACTACACTTGTGAATGTAAATTTAATGACATTCCCGTATTACCTATGTAGTTTGTCAACATATTGGGATGATTATGTCAGCGCAATAGTAATGTTTTGCGAGGGCAATATTTCTTAAAAGCTGTTGAGCTGTTATGTTGCGTTTCCTTTCATCCTGCGCGTTTAGGTTATGGTATGGCATTATTCTCGTCCGTCTTCAAAGTTGTTATCACCTTGCTGCATTCAGTTCGTCAGACTTGTGAACGCACGCGGCCCATTGTGTCATAAATGAATGTAAACAGGCTTGTGGCTTTTGGGTGTCTCGCGGGTAATGTGGCTGAATGTCATGAACTACGTTTATGTTCGCTTAATCAGGTGCATGCTTGTTTCCTCTTTGAACAATTAACGAGACAGGTTTTACTGATGCTCTCATGATTTAACTTCATTGTAGATGGTGACGTTTTTACCACGCGCTCGGGTTGGGGTCAAATTGATCCCCTCCGAAGATTTTTCCTGAATGATTTCCGAACGGCGTGGCGTAGCCGAGCCAAATTTTGCATAGCTGTAGACCATTGAATAGCGGATCGTTTGACATCAAAAATTTAGATGTACCTCGTAATGTCGCTGACCTTATGACAGGTCAAATTCGGGAAATGGTTTCAGCGAAGGCAATTTCAAGGGAATCCTTTAATCTGATCCAACAACGGAGTGTTAGACGAAGCCACACATCTCTGAGATGCTTTCTTAGGCAACACAACAGTTGAATGAGCAAACTGAATCGACCTGAGGTCAGGTATGAAGGTCACACCAAGGTCAAAACCGACCTGTTTTGCTCCTGCAGGGCCTGCTGTATGGGATATTTTGTGGTGCTCATTTCGAATTTATTGGTAGCAGGAGGCGCATTATACATCTTCCATGAACGTTTTAAAGGTCAGAATAGATCATTGACCTAAAATGACCCAGGTCAACATTTTGTTTTAGGAACATACTGCTTAGTGTAATCTTTTTCGCTCAGTCAGATGCAGAATTCAAAGCAATTTTGTATGATTTTGGTCACCTTGGCCTTTAAAAGGTCAAACAAGGTCACTGACTTTAAATGAGTATGCGAACTTTTGCATAGAAGCGGTTATCTAGGTTCTGGGGGCATTTTGGAGACCAACCTGGAACTTGACCTTTTTTACCTTGTTTGATCCGAAGGTCACGATCTAGGAATCTGAAACTTTGACCTTAATGAGTTCACGTACAGGTTAATACACTCTGTAAACCTGGTGTCTCTAGCTGTCTTAGTTCCCGAGATCTCAGGGGGTCAAACTGACCCCCTACCCGAGCGAAGGGTATCAAGCCGGCCACCCGGGCACGTGTTAGGTGAATGGTCTCTTCTTATTTTGCATGCGTCTTCCTCAATGCATTTTCGTAACGTTCGTTAGAATTTGTTTTTATTTGATGCTGCATCGCCGCAGAATGAATTAAATATTGTAGCCGTGGGCTTACCAGCAGTGTTGTGGATGAGCCACGCGTTTGGAAAGCCAAAGAAAACCAGTGCGCAAAAGCAGTACGGGGCCTGATCCCCCGCGGTGCCCACCCTTCCTGGCAGGGTGAGACGCAGGTGACGCCATATAGCCTCAGCAGCTGTGTGGTTTGCGAAGCCCCAATGGCGACGCGTCCCGTAGGCATGTATGATATTTGGGCTTGGTGATGAACATGTAAAGTACGTGCGTGTAAATTTCGGAAAAATCAGTCGGCCTCGGCAAGAGGAGGGAAGCACTGTTGAAGTTAATTGTCTTCATGTATCACCGTGGGGCTAGTGTTAAGCCTTCATGGAAAGTGGGACATGGCCTTGCCCCCTCCCCCATCCCCGCAACACCCAATGTTCCTCGGTCTGCATTGTGAGGCAGTGCGGTGAGACTGGACTGGGCCACTGAACTGGAAAATTGTATTATGGCTGAAACAGAGCTCCCTCGGTCTGCTCTTAACAGATTGGCACAGCTTCAGTTATGCTTCACTGGTACGGCATGGTGTCCCGCGTATGCCGGTGAAATATATCGTGTGATAAAGTATTGCTTGAACAAATATGCCAGTAAACTACACTTACCAGCACGCAACAGCTAGCTATGAAATTTATTGTGAGTCTGGTGGTAGGGTGATGTTATCTGCAAGCAGTTCCGGCTTTTAAGTACAGGTCCCGGTCACTTAATGCATATGTTTCGAATGTTAACGCGTTTAGCTGCGTGGTTATTGGAGCAGAACTCGGTGCACGTTCGTATGTTCTGGCAGAATTCTTTCCTGCACCCTTTAGCGAAGGAAACCTATGCTTTTTGTGTTCCTTGAATGGATTATTTTCCATTGTAAGTTAAAATTTATGTAATTTCAAGCGGACGTTTGGTGTAGTCAACCCGAAAGTCAGTTCATGGAAACTGGAGCCACCGCTGTTTTCTGCAGAGATTTTCATCCAGACGCCGAAGTGTTATAGTAAAAATCACGTTTCCAAGTTGGCTAGCCGCGCGACTAAGCTGGTGACACAGTAAGGCAGAAAGCTCGAAGCAGTGAAACGGTTGGGCGTTGGTTGCATGAATAAAGATAGTCCCTTAGTTCTGCTTCGTATAATCAAAATCCCTCTTTCCTGTTTGCCAGGAGTCCAACCTTGATCTCTTTAGCCTTTTTTGCCGTGTTTTCTTTCTGTCCAGGTCGACATTCTTTCGGCATACATTCTGCGAACACCTTGCTAAGCTATGCGCTGCCCGCAACAAATTAGAGTTGCGGGAAATAGTTGATTGGGCTAATTCATTGCTATCCTCAGAGAGCACTGTGCTATTCTCGCTCCTGTTTTACAGATGTGAACTCAGTATTCGATCAGCGCTGCTCCCTGTAACGATTGCCGTCTCTTGATTGCCTGCAGGTGCGTAGTTTTTTTCAAATAAGTTGGTTGGGGGGTGGGGGTAAGTGGTGGATAATGACGGGCTTACAAACAGGATACGCCAGCAAACGGGTTTCTTTCCGGATTTGCCGACTGCTTTCTCAAAATGGGAACGGACTGGAGCCCATGGTAGAAGGCTGAAGCCACCCTGCCTGCCTTTGACCTATTGATTTGGGATTTTCGATCGCATCGGCATGGAACAGTAACATAGCACACGACAGACGCTTCCTGTCTGTCAGCTCGTCACCCCGATGAACAGTCCCTACTACACTCGCGTCCCGTCTTAGCGAGCGGGCCGTAGCTGGCGGCCAGCCGTCCCGTATCAGTGCTCGCCGCCGCCTCAGACGGCACCGGCGTGCGCCGCCGCCTCAGACGGCACCGGCCTGCGCCGCCGCCTCAGACGGCACCGGCGTGCGCTGCCGCCTCAGACGGCACCGGCGTGCGCCGCCGCCTCAGACGGCACCGGCGTGCGCCGCCGCCTCAGACGGCACCGGCCTGCGCCGTCGCCTCTCAGACGGCGCCGGTCTCCGCCGCCGCCTCAGACGGCGCCGGCCTGCGCCAGGCCGCTGCCGCGTCCCCGCGTCTCTCTGGCGCCGGCTGGCCGTCTGCCCTCGTCTCCGGAGCCGCTCAGAGGAAGCCACTGACTCATCCCGCCTCGCTGACTCACACGCGTCCGCCATTCACGACCGGTGGACACCTGCCGCGCCGCAATAGCGCAAGCTAAAGGATCGCCGCTTTGTGGACGTCCACGGGATGCGTGACTCACTGTTCCCGGATTCGTGGGACTGGCGTGGCTTGGTCGCGTGCAAACATTCGTGTGGGCTATATCGGGTGCCTGCGCGTGATTACGTGCGGGCCATGAAGGTATTCCATAAGGCATCCTTCGGCAAGAATAGCCGCCTTTGAAGCGGTGGGTGCCGCGTGACCTTCCGTTCACTCAACAGCGATGCAAAGTAAAGTGATGCTGTCTGTAACAATTCATTCAGATTGCAGCCATCTCAATTTCACGGACCCATGTAATGCTGGGAAATTCAACAGCTCTCATGGTGCGTGTGTCAGTGAAGTGTATATTGATTGCGGGTGTTTTGGATGTCGGAACACGCCCATCACCCCGCAAGCTGTCGGGTCTATCCCGTTGTGATCTATTGTCGACATATGCCGGGCCGTCCGGGACGTCATTTCCCATAAATATCGACCGGGGCTCGTTATGGCGTGCCAGACATTCCAAATGAGCGCATCGACAAGGGATCGGTCGACTAACCGCTATTTGGCCGTTATGGATGCTCACAATCTCGAATTAGCGTAGGAATGGGGCGTCGCGTGCTCGATCGCTCCTCGTATCGGAGCTCTAATTGAGCCGTGGACTGGGCTCGTTCCCGTCTTCTCCAAGTGGACTGGGCTCGTTCCTACAGTGCCGCACCGATGTCTGTGCGTCGGAAACAGGACGCCACGCTGCGCCTGGCGCTTGATGCGGGCCCTGTCCCCTCGCAGATGCTGAACTGCTGCATTCAGAAGCGGGCGCAGGGCATGAAGACCGCCCAGGATGCTCTGGACAGCGGCGACGCCAGAGGTACTTTACCGGGGCACGCCTGCGGAGTCCCGGCACGCGCTGTCCTTCGTAGCTGGCTCGTGGTTGGGACCAGTGGAAGCGCCTTGCTGAGATTTGGCGTGCTGGTCGCTCCGTGCCATGCCATGCGCATTCTGTCTGTCCTTTCGATCGGCCGGGAAGTTCGTGCTCCATTTCAGTTCATTAGCAATTGTCAATTCCGTCTGCTCTGATGTATTCACTTGGCCTGATCCCTAGTTGCCTTGTCCCAGGCCATAGGACTGATCCATTGTCGCTGTGAGGTGTGTCACTAGCAACATACTTGAGTCACAAGCCGTCTGATCTGACGCCCGCACTAGTGAGCGGACCGTCATCGGACTGGGACCCCGAGCCAGCAGGCTGACCGCCGGCAGCCCGGCAGCGGCCACTGCTGTGGTCAGACGAGCCGCGTCCGCCGACCGTCCCTCGCCTCTCCGCCAGCGGAGGCCGACGAGGAGGAGGAGGAGTTCTTCGACGCGGCGGAGGATAGCGCCAGTGAGCCGGACTCGAGTCGACAGCGGCGGGCGCCCTGGAACCAGCCCGAGGGCCGTTTGAAACCGTGCGGCGCGCTCCGCCTGCTCGAGACCGGCGAGCGCATGTACATCCCGGTGACGCAGGTGAGCCCCATAGCGCCACCTGCGGCACACTGCAGTGCGAGATTCTGTGTGTAGGTGGCGCCAGGGAGCTGGCCGGTCGATGGCTGGGCCGCGCGCAGAGCGCGGCAGCAGGCTGGACTGTTGAAGACGACCAGTCACCTGTTGGCCGGCCACCGCGTCGCGGTTGGATGGGTACGTCAGAGTCCCCCCCCTCGAGCTGGCTGTGACGTCACGCGTGCGGTGCGCTCCCGCGGCAGGACGTGGCGCCGGTGACGGAGGACCGGCAGCAGGAGCAGTCGGAGGTGCTGGTCAGCCTGGGCACCGACGCCGAGGGTGCGCAGCTGCGGGCGCGCATGATGGGCGCGTCGCTCACCTCCGACATGGAGTCTTTCAAGGTGAGTCGCCGGCGCCGACCTCTGACGCGACGGGTCACTGCTGAGCACTCGCAGATCTGCCGGCAGTGTTGCATTACTTGTACGCCATGACATCCTCCATAGCAGTATGTGTTCAGTAAGGGACCGGCTCTCTTGACGGGCAAGCGAACAGCTAGAAGCATGCTGTAAATAGAATACAGAATAGTCTACGTGTTTGCGTTTCCTGCTACCGAATGTGATGGTATATCAAGGCCTATTAGGATTGCACGCCTCTGTGGCTCGTCCAGTGCCTCAACATCACACCTTCGTTAAGCCTTCAAGACGGTACGCTGACTAACGATGTACATGATGGCCTGATCCCCGCCTGTTATCATCGCGGCGCCCATCGAAAGCCTGTGCTGGTAATCACCCCATCAGTGACGGGCCTGGCCGCGTATCACCTCTGTTATCACAGCGGGCCGGCGAGCACCGCCGCACTGGGCGATGTTCCGGTCCGGTGGGCAGCGAGCGCGGTGTCGTCAGAGTCCGTGGTCAGTGTAGCCTGCCGTGAGGAGGCTGGCCGCTCCGGGAAGGTGGTGCGAAGTAGTCTGTAGGCTAGTGTTCTCGGCCTGCCAGCTAGACGAAGCTGAGGAGCATGTACGGTGTCGTGCGGTGCCGAGACGTTTCGTCGGCTGGGCTCGACCCACGGGTCTGCCTCCCGCTGCTGGCGCGTCCGTGGTCTGTCGTCCGCCGGTGGGCTGGCGCGTGACGGCCCGGTCCTGAGCGCCGTGAGCGCCGGTGGCTGAGACACCACCCGCCGTCCGCAGGCCGCCAACCCGGGCAGCACGCTGGCCGACTTCGTGCGCTGGTACTCGCCCAGCGACTGGGTGCAGGATGAGACGGACCCGTCGGGCCAGACAGGTACGGCGCAGGCAGCTCAGACCGCTGCACCGCCCCGATCGCTGCACAAGGGCTTTCGTGGGGTAGCTCGCATCGCTTGCATGGAAAGGTTGGCACGGGTGGCTTGCCTTGCCCACGTAACAAGCTTGATTCCTGGAAAAACGAATGATTGACATTTCCGAGAGCTTGGATCGTCATGATCACCATCACCCACTGAAACCCGGGTGGCAATCAAGTTGGATCTTAGCGCTTTGCACTGGGTCGACTCCACTTTCACTTTTTGCAGCCTGTCACTCATGTTTGTAAAGGAGTATATCTTTTCCCAGCATTATCCAGCTTGCCCTAAATGCGGCATTTCTATTTGGCATTGGCCACCTTATACAAGTGCCAGGTGCATGTCCCCGTTGGTGACGCACCCAGTCAGTCGTCACCGAGCCATCAGCTGACGTCTGCAGAGCCCCGTGCTTCATAACTTACAGATGACGTCACGATCCAAGCCCATTCCCTACTCGACCGAGAGGCGAAGTGAATGCTCTTGTTTACAAGTAAGGTGTCGTTACTGGGATATCAACGCATAGTAACGGTTGGTGCGCTATTGACGTTGACGGCCAATGGGCAGGCTACGATCTCGTGTGGAAAGTGTGATCGGTAGTGATGTCCCTAGCTACAGATTGCTTGCCAATAAATGTTAGTCGTATAGCACTCAAGTGCGTCATTCCTGCACACTATATGTCTACAGGGCGTTGGATCAGCTGATTTTACCTGCGCCCATATTTGTAGTTACTAGGCGCTCGTGTGTGAGCGGTCAAGTTGACCCTCCAAAGGTGGTTTTTCTACAATCATTTCCAAAAGGCGCGGTGAAGCCGCGCTAAATGTTGCATAGCTGTAGCCATTTCAGTAGCGGATCCTTTGGTATGAAAGATAGGTATACTTTCGAAGGTCGCTGACCTATGGTAGGTCTAACTCAGGCCGTAGCTGTCAGCAAAGACAATTTCTAGAGAATCAAATGCGACAACCGTGTCAAACGAGGCCATACATCTTTGAAAAAGCTTCTTGGACGATCAGACAATTTAATGTATGGTTACGAGAATTCTATCGATCTTGGGTTCAGGTGTAAAGGTTGAACCGAGGTCAAAGTTAACCGCCTTTTTCTGGAGAGCATGCTTTAGTGGGCTCTCCAGAAAAAGGCGCTGTTGTGCTCATGTTGCTGATGTTCATTTGGAGTTGTTTGGCGACAGAGGCTGTATTTGATGTCGTCCATGGACTTTAAAGGTCAGAGAATTTCACTGACCTAAAATGTCTCAGATCAATGTGTGGTTTTAAGAACGTGTCGCCTGGCGTAATCCTTGACGCTCCACGAAGTTCCAAAATCAGAGCAGTCTTTTGCTTAGAACAGGTATGCAGGCTCAAGGCGGTTGCGTGGGGAGGTATGGAGGCACTTTGGATACCAATCTGGAGTTTTCTCTTGTTTGACCTTATTTGACCCGAAGGTCACGGCATAGGAACGTCAAATTTTGGCATAAGTGAATACACATACACGCCAGCCACCCTTAAGATTTGTTGTCTTCTAAAACCTCAGAGCTCAAATTGACCCCCACCCGAGCGAACGGTAGTCAGCGAGTCACCCAGACGCGTGTTCAGGGCGCTCCCCATTGGCGTGTATCTATGACACCACCTCAGTGGCCGGAGCTCGGGCCGAAAGTCAATAGGGAACTGGGCCCAGATGTACGCCTCCATTGGAGATATATCCCATCACCCTGTGCCAGACGTTCATCTGGCGTATGCTCCCAGGTGTAGGTTCCCGTTGGCGTTGTGTTGTATCAGTCCGGACAGGGCCGTCAGCTCCAGTGTGCCTTCCGCCGGCTTTGCGTGTGCTGGCCGCGTGCACGCCTCGTGCGTGTCCGCCGGGCCGCCGTCGCTGAGCGCCCGCCCTCTCCGCGGCCAGGCGAGCTGAGCGCGCGCATGCGCATCAAGGACAACCTGTGGCAGGAGGCGTGGGCCACCTGCAAGCCGGTGCCGGCGCGGCGCCAGCGGCGGCTGTTCGACGAGACGCGCGAGGCTGAGCGGCTGCTGCACCAGCTGTCGGAGCCGGCGCCCGGCCGCCTGCTGCAGCTGGTCAGTCGGCGCCGGCGGCGGGGCCGACGCGGGCCAACCTGCTGCGGCTGTCACGCGCTGTTGTGATGCGCCCCAGCCTGGCAGACGGCCGTGACGCTGTGTGTGACACGTCCGTGGGCCGGGTCAGAGCGGAGCTGTAACAGAGACGGGACACGTGACCTCCACCCCGTCCGCGGCGCCGCGCCGCAGAAGGTGTGGAAGTCACGTCAGTCACCGCACCAGGCAGGGGCCATCCGGACACCTGTGTACGGGCTGGCCCCGCCGTTTGGAGGTCATCCACTGCTTTCACTTGGTGTCAAGGCAGTCATACGACGACACGATATTCAGATGCTTGGTGCTATAAATATTTATATTTCACGAACCAGTGCAAAGGTTGCCATTCCTTCTAGCGTTCCCTTATAGTGTTCTGTTCTAACGTTTACTCCGTGAAACTGATGTAGGCAGTCCTCAATGCTGGGCTCGAATTGACTGGGACGTTTGCTCGATGATCGGGTATATCTTGCTCCGTGTGCCTGCTTACGGCCCTCCGTAGTTGGTAATATGCTCTGCTTCACAGCTGGCGCCTGTCATCTACCACGCTGCCATCTATAGGTTGGTGGAAGAATTGGAGCCTGATGACCTTGCCGCGGTGGGGCAGCAGCTGGGAGAGGCGGCCCGCCGTCTGCAGTCGGCCGCCAAGGCTGACTGGGAGGCCAGCGCCTATAGCGTGCGTGACCTGCACTGCACCTGGAGCCCGCCCGGGATCCGACCTGTCCCGGCGGGCTAGGGTGAACTCAGGGGTCTATTGTTCTGTTGGGGTGTGGTCTCCAACTTTTCCCTCTCCACTACTCGGAGAAAAGAGTGAGCAGAATCTGGGGTGAAACCTGCTTATATCTCTTCTTTTTGTAACCTGCTTATATCTCTTTTTTTTGGGGGGGGGTGGGTGTTTTGTTGTATTTACAGGCGCCAATTCATTTTACCACTATGTGCACTCCATCCAGACGTTGCGCCGAGGATCCCTCGTCATTAAACGTTCGGTATATGACATTGACGTCCCATGACTCTTAAGGCCATGACTGAGTGTGGATGGGTTGGGAAAGATGGGAGGACGAACTGGGCCATTTGGAGCCAAGTTTTTGGGAGTTATGGAGTGATCTGGCCAGAACCGTGATATCCTAGTGGAGACAACCAATGCAGAATAGGCTCGCTGCACTTTGTATTATATTGAACACTCGTAGCTCTATGATAATGCTTTGTGTAGTTCTTGGAAGTGAGTTGCATGTGAAGTGCCTGCACCCCAAACGACCACCTGCCAGCGGCGTTGTCATTGGGCCCGTTTCGCACGCTGTCGCCATCCGGAGGGATTGTGGCGCTGCTGTGCTCCCTTGAGGTAACGCCTTGACGTGGTGAGAGCGCCGTGTGGGTGTGGTGGGTGGTTCTCACAGGCGGTGGGTGAGCTGCTAGCCCGGTGTGAGCATCACGTGCTGAGGCGCCGCTCGCTGGTGCTGAAGCTGGAGGGCGTCCAGGACAAGGACAAGTTTGTGCAGCAGCTGATAGGTGGCGCTGAGGTGGCGGTGCCGGGCGGTGCCAACGGAGGTGCTGCCCGCCATCTCGAGAAGATGCTGACTGCCAGACAGGTCGGTGTGTGCCGAGTGGTGCACGTTCAGCCAGGGCCTGCGTGCAGCTGAGCAACCAAGCCGTGGCGTAATTTTTTAATATATAGTCTTTAAGTCTTTAAGATTTAATCTTTATAATATTTATTTAAGATATATGATAAATAAATATAAGATAATATAATTGGTCTTGACTCACTTAACGTAGTTCAGCTTTTGACATGCCAGTCACGCCATTTTTCAGCTCGATCATTCGACGGATTTCCATACTGTGACTGTCTTGTCCCCGTGCTTTCAAATGTTTCCAGGAGATTGCTTGCATTACAAAGTGAGCATCCATTCCCTGTCAGCTGTCCATGCGAATGTGCTGTGTGCCGATTTGCGGCCTTATGACCCCATAGCATATCACTCTTGGTTCATATTTTAGCAGTAAGACGTCCCGTGTGGCGTGTGAGTGTGAGGCGACGGCGGACGGCAGAGTTGCTAGGCGGTGTTGTGCGGACGATGCTTCAAAACTAAGCGTATGAAGCCACAATTCTTGCGGCGAGGGATATCAGAAGCTTTGGTTGCGGCGCTGAAACGTCTTTTGTCATCATGATTTCACGGCCGAGGTCCACCGATGCAGCATCTGCTCGAGAAGAGTAATTGACCGCTCTCATCTCAGTTGCGGCTTACGGCGTTAACCTTGGGCGTCGAATAGTTTGAGATCCGTTAGCAACTACCTTCGGCGTCGAACAGTTTGAGATCCGTTAGCGAGCTTTAAGCGGTGCATTGGCCTATTCAAACGATATTGCGTCTTCAACTGCTATGATTAGTGGGAACGGACGCCATTTCTAAAAGCATGCTGAATGCAAGCGGCGGTAGGGCTTATGCACGAGGGCACGGAGCCGTCTTCTGACACTGATCCACGCTACTGAGCATACATTTGTATTCCCCCCCCCCCCCTCCCCGTCATAATCATGCTAGTCTCGTGTCGTTGCAATCCCAGCTCGTCAGAACAGACACCCTGTTTTCGCTCGCGTCCTTTATCTTCTGGCTGTTTGAAAACGGCATGCTTTCCTGCTTATTGAATGGGGAAGGTAAAATCTTATATATCACAATATTGCAGGAAGTCCTGCGTGGCCAAACAAACAGCTTCCATGCCGTTGTCTAGGCATTTGCACAGCACAGCTTTGGTTAATCGCTTTGTTGTTGCTTAAAAGCTACACGAGACTGTGATCGGCGGTTGTAATACTGTTGGCTTCCAGAGGTGATGGTCGGACCGGACCCGGCCGCACAGTGGAATAGTCTCGCATAGTTCATTTAAGACACGCCCGGCCTGCAACGTCGCTTATAACCGTTATAACCGTATAACGTTGAAAGAAAACAGCATTTTACCCCCTCGGTGCATGACCATGTGGTACGTGATATGTCCAGGCCAAATTGTCAGTGGCATGGTATGATGTTGGGTCGCGCTTACCAGTAATCAAATTCTGGAATGGTGTGTGCACACCGTATTTAAATTAAATCGCGGTCCAAAAAGATATGTTTGTGGTACTCTGCCGCCAAAGGTTTATGTTTATGTCTGTCCCCATATGTTTATGTCTGGCCATTTTGCGTTTTTATGTCATCTGACTCGTCTGCTCCTGCTGAATTCGAATGTTTAAACCAATATTCGAAATTTTCGGAAACTTTTAGCTCAAAGAAAGGGCCAAAAGTTTGTGAAAATTTCAACTGATGGTCTAAATAACCGAATTCAGCGTGAGTAGACGAATCAGATAATGTAAAACACGCAAAATGGCCAAAAATCGACACATGGGATTTTACCTTTGCACGGCAGAACTAGCTGCTTTCATGTGCTGTGAACCCTTTCTTGTTCAGTTTCTGTACATATGTGATATTGTGACCTTTTTGGCTTATTGGCGTTGACCAGGAGTGAAATTATTTTCTTCAAGAAGAAAGTGGACCAAATCCGTGGAGAAAGGCGTTTCATTGCGCATTTTGGGGGTCAGTTTCGTCATGTTTTACTGCTCAGCCCCACCAACTCATGTTGCGAGAGCACAACCCCGTTTGTGTCGCCGTTGCACAGAGTTTGACCATTCCAGATCTCTCCGTCACAGTTTTGTCAGTGGAGCGTGACGTGTATGAGCGGGCTCTTCCGGTTCGACCGACCGGGGCGGGCGTCGGCCACACTAGGACGGCCGCCGCCGCGCTGCTGACGCCCCAGGCCGCGCACTGACCGCCTCCCCTGACCCGCAGCCGGACCAGGGCCTGCCGCCGCCCGTCACCAAGGAGTACATCCTGCGCGTGACGTGCGCCCGTCCAGGGCCCGGCTCGCGGCCGCTGGCGCAGCGGCTGCGCTGCCTCATCTCCGACCAGCTCTTCCGCGTGACAGCCTCGCTCAGCCAGGACACCATGTTCAGCTAGCCGGAGGCGGCGCCGCAGCCGGCCGGCCCGGCCAGCAGGACGCCGTCCCCCGCGGGACTCCGCCGGGGCCGCGTCCGGCTGGGGCCGGGCCGCGCTGTCACACGTCGTCGTCGGTGGCTAGCGCCTCCGCCCTGTGCGATGTGCCGGCGGTGCGAGCGACGGGAGAGCCCGCGGGCCGGACGGGCTGTGTGGCCGGAGCTGCGTGGACGACACCGAACGTGTGGCTGGGGCTGTGCGGCGGCGCTCTGTCAGTCTCAGCCTGCTGTTACGGCCCGCCTGACCTGTGCGGTCAGCGGTCGGCGGCCCGGCTCACCCCGGCTCACCTCGGCTGCCCGTGCGACAGATGGACGGCCAGTGCGGTCGGTGTGGACAGCTGACTGGGCCCAGTTCTCGGTCCGGGAGGTGGTGCGCCTCCCGACTCCATACGAGTGTCCGTCTGCGGAGCGGCGGCTGGTGCTCTGCCGGGAACCGGGTCCTGATGACCCCGGTAGCGTGGCGGCGGGCGTCGGTGAGGCCAACCAACGGCGTACGTCTGTGAGGCGACGACAGGGGTGGGGCTACATTGCTAGACATGTGTGCTGTATCGAAGTGTCTTCTACATTTATGTTCGTGAGTTGCAGAGAGTGGTTAGAGATATAAAACTGCAATGGTGGGTAGTGTTTAATTGTATAACTGAACTGTGGTTCATATGTTGTTCGTCGATTTTTTCGGCTTTCGTTTGGTGTGTCAAGATGTACTGGGTCTTTCTTGGAAATATATTTTAGTATTTCTCATTTCCTTTCACGTTCGTCGCGTTCTGTGTAGAATGCAATCAAGCAGTGGCCGATCCGACATGACATTTGAAGAGGAGCTGGGTTTTAAATCCCGCGCCCGCGACACGACATACAAGCACAGCGAGAGGGACAGGCTGAGCTGTTATCAGTTCTGGGAAGGGGCTGTTGGCCTATCCACTGGACCCGCCTGTGAGTAAAAGTGGATTGTAATCTTTAAAAAATGTTAAGAGGCGCGGCATTTCTGTTGGAAACTTTGACATTTTGCGGTGTGCCGCATTTGAGAACAGTCTGTGTGTAGGGTACTTCACACGCGATCGCTTAAACTGGAGGCATTCCGTCCCACCATCGCATGTAGGTCAAAAGTCGTCAAAATGTGAATACGGCTTCAATCGACTGGGGCTAATGTTTTTCTTTCAGAGACGGGCCCGCTTGTCCCGTATGTGTGACCTATGACTTCTATGGGTGAGACGCCGTAAAAGGGGTGTGCGCCAGCGGGTGTGGGTGCATCCTGTAGGATAGATTTCCATCTTTCATGCTTGTACCAACAACCAAAGGCGGCGGCTCCTGTCGCCGAATCAGAAAGATGGTCACAAGTCGCTATTGGGTGCTGTTGAATTGAAGTTGCGTTAGATTACCGGGGTTTGTATGGGATTTCGCAGTAAAAAGGATGTATCCAGAAGTTTATCAGTGAAAACCCTACTTTAGCGTGCCGCCGGCGTACAAAAGTTCTTGAGTGGCATATATGAACATCGCATTTTTTCAGTTTACTTATTTGTGCGATCTTAACTCTATTTTCTCAGTCAACATTTATTCACATCCATGTCAATGCATGCCGAAATTCGATTTGCAAGGCCTATGCCTTCGGTAATCCCTCCCCTCCCTGCCCTTTGAAAGCTCCTTAAGATTAAGTCAGGCGAGATCGTGTCAAATTATGAGCATGATGATAAAATTCTAGGATACCTGTTACGGTGAACTTGTTGCCGAATTGTGTTGCCTGATGCGCTAACAACCGACAGCAACGTACCAACACATGCAGCATTGTCTAAAGCGGGGCATGATTTGACCTGTTTCTACGACTTGGCTGACAGCCTGTTCACCGCGCTGGTTCGGTTGGTTCATTATACGGGAAATGGAGTCCGAATGGGTGCTGTTCATGTTCACAACAGCGGAATGAGGCTTTGGCTGTGGTTAGAAACATGCAGGCAATCGTGCAGACTTTTTGACCTGGCAGGCAATCGTACCTCGTCACCCGGCCAACCATGTTCCTTTCTGTCCCTAAGATGTGTGACATTGGTCACGTGACAGACAAACTAAGTTCGATCACGTCCACGTTTCACTCTCTAAAACTATCGACATATATATGAGAGCGGTTTGGGCTCATCCTGGGCAGCCTCGGGCGTTGGTTGGTCACGTGACACGGGCTAGGGTCGCCCTTCGTCGTCTGGGATATAGCTTCATATCGTTGAGTGGGAAGGGAGATGCTCCCCTCCACAACGTGCCATAACAGATCAAGTCTTCGGCCAGAAGACTGGTGAAGTGGCCAATGCTACTTTGTCCCTGCGTATCTGCCCGGACATGGCTTTGTCACACCGCACAGCAAGGCTAATTAACGCGCACCCGGGTGGCCGGTTGTACACCCTTCGCTCGAGTAGGGGCTTAATTTGATCCCCCGCTGAGATCCCAGAAAGTAAGGAAGCTAGAAACATCGAATTTACAGGGTGTGTTGACGTGTGCGTGAACTCATTTGTGTCAACATTGTACTTGCTAGGCTATGATCTTCGAGGCAATTAAGATAAAACAGTGCCAAACTCCACATTGGTATCCAAAGTGTTCCCATACCTTGTCATGCAACCGCTGCAGACCTAGATACCTGTTCTAAGCAGAAAGTGACTTGTGTTCACTCCAAGTCAGTGACATCGTGTGATCGTTCGAAGGCAATGGTGACCAAAACAATGCCAGTATTTTGATTTTTGCACTTAAATGAGCGTCAAGGATTACGCCAGGCAATATGTTCCTAAAGACAAAATGATTACCGGGGGTCATAATAGGTCAACGACCTATTCTAAGCTCTAAAAAGTCAATGGAGGATATGTAATGTGGTTCCTGCTCTTAATAAATTCAAAATGAGCACCAGAAACTACCCCGAAAGAGCGCGCCCTAGAGTAAGAAAACTGTTGGATTTGACCTTGGTCTGGCCTTCATACCTGACCATAGGTCAATGGAATTTGTTAATTCAATCGCTGCGTTACTTAGGAGGCTATCACAGAAATGCATGGCTTCGTCTAACCGTTCATTGTTGCATCAGATTGAATGATTCCCTGGATACATGGCCTGACTTTGACCTGCTGTAGGCTTGACCTTGCAAGGTTACACTTGTAAGGTGTAACCTTGCAAGTTACATATATTTGTATACTTAGCGATCGGTTATTCAATTCTCTACAGCTCGGCAAAATTTTGGAAATCGTTTGGGAATCGTTTGGAGATCGTTTGGAAATCGTTTGGAAACCATTTGGAAGTCATTTCGGAAAGACCTTCGGGGGCTTAATTGACCTCCAGCCCGAACACGTTTTAGGGAATGGGACCATCAAGCCACTATTCCGTCTTGCATGCGTGTCGATCTGTTGACACAAGCATGACGTTGAGCCGGGTTGAGGATCTCCTTTGCTTAATTTTCCTGACGTCTTCGAGAAAATTACAATCAGAACTTTTTTGAACGCAGTTCGTGACGAAGACCATGAACTCTTCAGCAGAGCAGTGCCAGTTCACCAGGAACTTTCGCCGAAGTATATCACGTGTCACGCACCCGCCCCCCCCCCCCCCCCCCCTGGCAGGTGGTCTTGGCCGTCAGCGCTCGCATAAAAGGTGTAGCCGTCGCCACTCTGACCAGACCTAGCCCGGTCGAACAAGATCGACCTGGAGGAGCACGGCAAGAGCACAGCAGGCTCTGAGCACAGCTCTCTGAGCCTCGGGCTCTGAGTTTGGAACGTCCTCGCTACGCGCCTGTCGGATAGAAGTCAACGTTACCGCGCACGGCGTTCTGCGCCGTCACATTTGTCGCCCGCGGTCGGTAATGCAGTGACGGAGGCTCTGGCTGACGGCGTATGCCGTGACCCGCCCGTGACCCGAGTCCGAAGTCGGCAGCCAGTGCCTCCCCGCCGGACCAGCCCTGTTGAGCAGAACACGTGACCGGCTCCTCAGAATCCTCAGAGCCCGGCCGCCCGAGATTGATTGTACCGTCACCGTGGCGACCCAGAGCACACCAGTACCACGACGCGGTGAGCTATCGTTTAGCGGATCAAGAGCTTGTAGTGGCCCGCCGTTGCGGGCTTGAGCGGTGGTGGCGTGTGGCGCTGCTAAATCCGAGGCCAGCTGCAAGCATGGTTTGCCGCTTTGCAGCATGTATCGGGCTGTAACGCGGGTCACAGTAGGACAGCAGGGCATGCTTGAGGATGGCGTGCCCAAACAGGGGCGTCGTTGGGATTGGCGGCCAGAGAGGCTTTGTTGATGATCAGAGGTCCAAACTGGCGTTCTGGGAGAAACTGGCGTTTTGGGAGAGGGGCGAGGCGCCAGCAACTATGGGGATCGCAGCCCTTTTGTAGCACATTTGTGCGCCGGTTGTCGAGTCAAGGACTGCATGTCAAGGGTATGCTTTGATCACGTATCATGGATAAAGGTTACACAGCACGCAGTTGCTGTTGGAAACGGGACCGTGGTGGCTCGGCCAGCTTGTTTCCGGCTCTTGAACTACCCTGGTTCTCGTCGTCGACTGCGGCCGTTCGAACCGCAATCAAACAGTTGACTACTACTGCGATGCTCACGAGCGATCTGTCCGTCAAATGAGGTTCCGGCGAGCCTGAGACTACGGCGGTATCACATCTCCTGATTGACTGTGGTGATATGCACCTGCATCACCAAGTGAAGCAAGTGATGCAACCCGAGCGACGAGTCGAGCCAGCTAAACTACTACGCCTGCACAGAGCTGCACTAGCCTGGCCGTCAGGTAAGGCTAGTCGCATACCAGACGGAGCAGATGTTCGTAATAATAGGCAGTATGTGATGCTGTACTGTCGATTAATCGGCACAACCAATGGTTATTGAGCAGCTCTCAGGCACCGTCTACCCTCACCAGGACGACACGACAAAGGCGAAATGACGATGCACGCCATGTATCCACCCCCACGGCTCTCCAGAGTTCCCCCGTGTATCCACTCTCACGCCAGTCCGGAG